CTGGGGGGCACCAGTAATGCAACAGCAAGAAGACCTACGTGGATTATCATAATTTAAGAGTTGTGAAGACAGTATTCCTCTAGTTCCAACAAACTTACTCCAGCATACTTTACTCAGAAGTGAGTATATATCTTTCTGAATTATTAAGAGTATTTGAGAAAGCATCACTACCCAGAGTTAAGAACTATGAATTTTTTTTAAAAAAAAGCACACTCTGATGCCACCTTTTGTTTGTATTTTTGTTGTTGTTGTTGTTATATATAATCTCAGGGACATTTCTAGATTCTTATGGTATTCTAAATTCTTGCCCTGTTTTTGATCAGAGTTGGAGAGCAAAGCCCTGGAGGGATCATAGGTAGCAGAATAATCTCTTCTGTGAACTAGGTCAGGAAATACTGTACTTCTTTGTATGCTGTTGGTATTTCTTTGTTATTAACCCAACACATACACACTATGATGCGAATATGAAGACGTTGAATTTCATTCAAAGAGTTAAGAGAATGAGTTATGAACTCCAAAATCTCAGTTGAAAGATAATGTAGTTCACATATTGAGATTGTAAGATATTTTGGAGTTATAATGCCTCACGTTTAGCAAAACTGTTAGGACACAGTGAAAATGGTGAAATATGTGTTGATAATTTGTGTACTACAAAACACATGGACCTATCACAATAGCACTAACATCCACAGCAGTATAGATGAAACCATCGCTACATGCAATGTACACTATGTATCAGAAATGGTCGGCTTCATAAATCATGACTTATAATGCAGGCAGGCTTGAAAGATTACTGAGAGAGAAATGATGGAAAAGTTATGTGAAATTTTAAAATATAAAAGTAAAGTGAAGTATGGATGCTGAACACATGGGGGCAGTAAGTTAATTCTCCATCGTCCTTACAATTTTTCCTTTCACTTCCAAGTTACAATTAACAATGTATATATAAAGAGGAGGATGTTAACACAATAATATAGATTCAGAATGCTCCCCAATTACTGCCATACTTTTACAGATAACCTGTTTCATGTCATATGTAAGTAAATTCATCTACACAACTTGTTCCAATGCAATAGTGTCTGTTCTAACCAGAATGACACATTTATATTAAATAGACAGGAATAATGTTTCAGTCACTGCCAATGCAGGAAAACTTAAGAAGGAGAGGTGGTTGACCTTTTGTGCCTAATATCTCTTTTTCTAATTTTCAGCATGTGGACATCCAGAACTTTTCCACCAGTTGGAAAAGTGGAATGGCTTTTTGTGCCCTCATCCACAAGTTCTTTCCTGATGCCTTTGACTACGCAAACCTTGATCCAGCAAATCGGAAAGATAATTTCACCCTGGCCTTCTCTACTGCTGAGTGAGCACTCCCCTCCATCTTAGACCTCAGGACACCACCACAGCTATAGGGCAGGCTGAGTCAGGGATGAGTACTAACCTCCAGAAAGTGCACCCATGTTGTTGGTAGACGTGTAAAGTTATTCTCTGAAGTAATTTTGCCCTATCTTCCAGCTCATTCAAAATAACAGTGTTACCAAAGATCAAAACCGTGTCCGATAACTGATAAATTAAACTGACAAATGTGTAAACGTTGCCAACTTTAACAGGGATGAAAATTGTAGCATGATCAAAAGGCCCCCCTCCCCCCATTCACCCAGGCAGCAGGCTGAGGAAAGTGCAGGGAGGCACATATAACCTTCAAAACTAGGGAAACCTGGAGAAAAGCACATGGGATTATCTTCATACTGTATGCTGTTGTGCAGATTTTATTCTGTTACTTGAGCTCCGTACCATGTGGGATGTACAATCTGAAGTCTTGCAGCTTCCTTTTAAACTGACTGCTGGCTAAAAGTTTGGCATCATGTATTTCTAACCACCAATCCTATCTATATTTAGCAGCAATATTTTGGATCAGTTTTAAAGTTTGTGAAAAAATCTCCCTAGGCAACCCTACATGCAGCAGACTGCAATAGTCTAATCTTATTGCTGTAAGATAAACATAAATGACAATGGCCTAGTTATCTTTACAGTATTCAGGGGTGTCTGCCAATGACAAATGGTGTTTTTTTTTTGCTCCTACCTAGCAGTTAGACATCGCCAGCTAAGATTCACACAGATCCATCAAGCTGAGAATCTGAATTTTAAAAGAATACAGGGTTTTACAAAGAGACTGACTTTTATTTCTCCAATCCATAAAGTTATCTGCTATTAGTTTCCCAACTTCTTTGGGTTGACCCATATTCCTTCTCAGATAGCCAGGACCAAGAATATAACTATAGTCAGAAGTATTGAAACATCCAGCTACAGAACATCTATGAGAATTAGCAATATCAGAACAGAGATTTTTTTAAAAAAAAATTCAGCCGAAAGCTAAGCTTGAAACCAATCTGTAGAATTTTAAAAGCCTGGAGTTTATTATCTTTTATTTGTTAGCAACTCTTGTTTCAAAAAGAAATAGTTATAACGGACATATTAGTGAGGTTTGCTAGCTAAGGAGTTTTTTGACAACTGCTTCCTTTAACATTGTAGGGACTGTTTCACAAGGAAAAATTAGTTATGTCTTAGCTCAGTGTTTCTCAACCTTGACAACTTTAAGGCGTGTGGACTTCAACTCCCAGAATTCCACAGCCAGCAATGCTGGCTGTGGAATTCTGGGAGTTGAAGTTCACATGACTTAAAGTTGTCAAGGTTGAGAAACACTGTCTTAGCTCATCAACCTTCAACTGTTAAGCATGATAAAATAGGAAATTTCAAGAAATCAACACACCTTCAAGCACATTATCATAACAACCTAAGTGTCCTCTGGATCAGATTGAAGTCTAATCGAGACCAGAGCTGTGTTCTTCAATAGTTAAACATAAATCTTGAGTAGCAACCTCCCACTTGTCCTTCAGTGGTGGTATTGACATGCACACTATTGTACCTCTGAACTTGGAGGTAGCATACAACCATCATAAATAATAATCGGTAATTATCTACTGTATGAAGGAAAGCAGCACATTTTTAAAACATAACAGACGCAAAACGAAGCAGCAACAATAATTTCTTTGAGGACACCCCTTAAAAATTGCTAAATCAATTAATGTACTGATGATGCTGAATAAATGTCAAGCTTCAAGATAACATTAAGCTCTGAAGGAAAGAATTTAAAGCCTTTGAATAGCCAGCCTTGAAGAAGCAGGAGCCCTTGCTAGATAATTGGACAAAGGAAAATGATAATCAGATAATCAAAAGCAAGAGTAGGTTCTGCATTTGTAACATGTAACCCAGAGTTTCAAAATAGTTAATTTCAGTGATTTATGGTGTCTTCAGTGTTGCTCTTGTGCTATAATGAAATCTATTCCACTTAAACAGGCAAGAGGTTCAAATTAACTACCTTCTTGGACTTCACTGTGATTTTGGAAATCTTTGCATCCTGGTCCAATTCTCTAGAATAAGGCTTGTTAATTCTTGTTAATTCTGGTGATGAAGGGCTATATTCAAGCTGCTTTGCCAAATCATTGAGGTATGCAGCAGAGTTGATCATTTGTCCATCTTTTTTCCAGGAAATATGCAGACTGTGCTCAACTCCTGGAGGTGGATGACATGGTGCACATGAGTGTTCCTGATAATAAGTGCATCTACACCTATATCCAGGAACTTTATCGCAGCTTGGTGGAGAAAGGACTAGTAAAGACCAAGAAGAAATAGAAATGCAAAGCAGGCTTTGGCTTCAGGCTCATTGGAAGCTATATAAAAACTTGGTAGGACAGGTAAGAGGGTTTCTGTGATTCTCATCTTCAAAGGGGACTATCTCCTTGAAATTCTAGAATCACATTAAGTGCAACTAGATAAAACCAAAAGGAATGGACAATAATAGAAGAATTGAGATCTTGCTCATTTGTAGCACATGGAAAAAAAGAACTTTAGTTTTGTTTTTAAATTATTCCGTCTTCCAGATCAAGCTTAGAACACCTACATGTGCTTAGATAGTAGGTTAAAAAATTAAAGTTTCATATTTAGCTTAAAAATCTTCAACATATTCCTTCAAAATCTTATCATGTGGTTGTTGTTGTTTTGGCATAACCAATGTTATTGTCCTACCCTAAGAATTTGGGAATGATGGTCTTATTGGGATATAGTATATTTTCCTTCGGTGATCTCAAATTCCTTCATGCCATGTTAGTTTATTAGCTACCAAGTACTATAGTATCTTATTAGCTACCAAGTACTATAGTATTGTATCTTCATGCCATGTTAGTTTATTAGCTACCAAGTACTATAGTATTGTATCTTCATGCCATGTTAGTTTATTAGCTACCAAGTACTATAGTATTGTATCTTCATGCCATGTTAGTTTATTAGCTACCAAGTACTATAGTATTGTATTTCCATTAAATGGAAATGTCTGTTGATGATGTTGCTACTTTAGTCAGTAGAAAAACAACAAAGGTCAATACATGAATGATTACAAAATGCTTAAAGATGTTAAAAGTGTTTTCATCACTAGAAAAGTCTTATCTTAATGGTAGGGATCTTAACATTCTTATTACTGGGAAGATAAGCCATTTTGGCTTGCAAGACCATTTTATTTCTAGATATTCTGTTTAAATAAACAGAATATCTAGAAATAAAATAAATGTTGCTGTTTCCACTTCCAACTGAATTTTAGAGGTCTAGTGCATGTTGGTGCAGTAAAAATGGCACATGAAGACAGTTACTTGTGAAAGAATGGTCCCAGGCAAAAAGCAGCATAGTATTCTGGCATGGACTCCAGAAGATGGTAGAGGACAGGAAGGCCTGGAGGAACGTTGTCCATTGGGTCGCGATGGGTTGGACATGACTTCGCAACTAACAACAATTCTGGCATTGACTGCCCTGTAGATATGAGACTTCATGCATTAAGATGTCCAATACACGTGGAGGGCTCTAGATTGCGAAAAGACTTTATTTAACAGCTGGATCTTTTCCACATTAAAGCTTATAGGATTTCAAAGAAACATAGGGGGCGTGGTTCTTCTGTACCCAATTGTTAGGTAGGCTGGCCTATAAACCTGCTTAGAAACCCTGTAGAAATCATAACAGTTGTTGGGAAGCTAGGCTTGGCTTCTGTGTTTTCTCCAAGAGACCTCAAATTTGGATATAATTCTTTTAAATTTTTCAGAGGGAATGCAACATGGGATGTATATATTCTGCAATTTTCCGAGCATGGAACTGGAACCAACTACTACTACTTAACCCTCATTAGCAGTAAAATCTGCTATGCACCACCCTTCTGCCACCTGAAAAGAGCAGGAAAGGAACGCTTACTGATGCCATGCCAGCATTTCAAGCAGAGCAGAACTGAGTCTGCCCCATATGTACGAGACTCAGAAGAAGTGTTACCATCAGCAACTCTGCATCCTCTTTTTGGGTTGCAAAAGTGTTCCTGCAACCCATGCTGCAATCACTCTTTCCCTGACCAGGCACCGGTACTATTAAAGCACAAATGTACCAAGTCAAGGTTGTCACACAATATTTTTATGCTGCATTCTGTTTTAGCAATGGCAGCTCAGGTGCCCTATGGCGTGGTTTCCAAGGGAGAATGCAAACATGTTCTCTGTTTGAAGTAGCTGCCCAGGCATATTAGAATGGTTTGAGCAGTGCAGCATATGTGACCCAATCTTATGTTTTGTTTACTAAGAAATAAGCTCCTCTGCATTCAGCTATTCACCAAACCATTGAACTTTGAGCAAAGAAATCACACTGTGCAGATAAGAGGCTNCTGGGGGGCACCAGTAATGCAACAGCAAGAAGACCTACGTGGATTATCATAATTTAAGAGTTGTGAAGACAGTATTCCTCTAGTTCCAACAAACTTACTCCAGCATACTTTACTCAGAAGTGAGTATATATCTTTCTGAATTATTAAGAGTATTTGAGAAAGCATCACTACCCAGAGTTAAGAACTATGAATTTTTTTTTAAAAAAAAAGCACACTCTGATGCCACCTTTTGTTTGTATTTTTTTTTGTTGTTGTTATATATAATCTCAGGGACATTTCTAGATTCTTATGGTATTCTAAATTCTTGCCCTGTTTTTGATCAGAGTTGGAGAGCAAAGCCCTGGAGGGATCATAGGTAGCAGAATAATCTCTTCTGTGAACTAGGTCAGGAAATACTGTACTTCTTTGTGTGCTGTTGGTATTTCTTTGTTATTAACCCAACACATACACACTATGATGCGAATATGAAGATTCACGTGTGCAATCTTAGCCTGTACTATTTTCTCATTATGCCTTTTGTTCAGATGTTGAATTTCATTCAAAGAGTTAAGAGAATGAGTTATGAACTCCAAAATCTCAGTTGAAAGATAATGCAGTTCACATATTGAGATTGTAAGATATTTTGGAGTTATAATGCCTCACATTTAGCAAAACTGTTAGGACACAGTGAAAATGGTGAAATATGTGTTGATAATTTGTGTACTACAAAACACATGGACCTATCACAATAGCACTAACATCCACAGCAGTATAGATGAAACCATCGCTACATGCAATGTACACTATGTATCAGAAATGGTCAGCTTCATAAATCATGACCTATAATGCAGGCAGGCTTGAAAGATTACTGAGAGAGAAATGATGGAAAAGTTATGTGAAATTTTAAAATATAAAAGTAAAGTGAAGTATGGATGCCGAACACATGGGGGCAGTAAGTTAATTCTCCATCGTCCTTACAATTTTTCCTTTCACTTCCAAGTTACAATTAACAATGTATATATAAAGAGGAGGATGTTAACACAATAATATAGATTCAGAATGCTCCCCAATTACTGCCATACTTTTACAGATAACCTGTTTCATGTCATATGTAAGTAAATTCATCTACACCAGTGGTTCTCAACCTTTTTAATGCCGCGACCCCAACCGGTCGTAAGTCGAGGACTAAACCGGTCATAAGTGGAGGACTACCCAACCGGTCGTAAGTCGAGGACTTTCCCTGCCTGGGAGCGCTGCGCATGCGTGGTTCCGCCCCCTGCGCCGGCCGAGGCATAGCTGGCAAGTGGCAGAGACGGAGCAGGCAGACCACCAGCTGGCCCAGCCCAAGGGAGGTAAGGCACCCTCCAGAAAAGGGGGGGAAAAATGGCGGACAGCCTTGCTTGGCGACCCCCATGAAATGGTCGATCGACCCCAAATGGGGTCCCGACCCATAGGTTGAGAACCACTGATCTACACAACTTGTTCCAATACAATAGTGTCTGTTCTAACCAGAATGACACATTTATATTAAATAGACAGGAATAATGTTTCAGTCACTGCCAATGCAGGAAAACATAAGAAGGAGAGGTGGTTGACCTTTTGTGCCTAATATCTCTTTTTCTAATTTTCAGCATGTGGACATCCAGAACTTTTCCACCAGTTGGAAAAGTGGCATGGCTTTTTGTGCCCTCATCCACAAGTTCTTTCCTGATGCCTTTGACTACGCAAACCTTGATCCAGCAAATCGGAAAGAGAATTTCACCCTGGCCTTCTCTACTGCTGAGTGAGCACTCCCCTCCATCTTAGACCTCAGGACACCACCACAGCTATAGGGCAGGCTGAGTCAGGGATGAGTACTAACCTCCAGAAAGTGCACCCATGTTGTTGGTAAACGTGTAAAGTTATTCTCTGAAGTAATTTTGCCCTATCTTCCAGCTCATTCAAAATAACAGTGTTACCAAAGATCAAAACCGTGTCCGATAACTGATCAATTAAACTGACAAATGTGTAAACGTTGCCAACTTTAACAGGGATGAAAATTGTAGCATGATCAAAAGCCCCCCCTCCCCCATTCACCCAGGCAGCAGGCTGAGGAAAGCGCAGGGAGGCACATATAACCTTCAAAACTAGGGAAACCTGGAGAAAAGCACATGGGATTATCTTCATACTGTATGCTGTTGTGCAGATTTTATTCTGTTACTTGAGCTCCGTACCATGTGGGATGTACAATCTGAAGTCTTGCAGCTTCCTTTTAAACTGACTGCTGGCTAAAAGTTTGGCATCATTTATTTTATTTATTTTATTTATTAATTGTATTTATATCCCGCCCTTCTCCTTTCGGACTCAGGGCGGCTGACAAATGATAAAAAGCTAACATATTACACCCAGTTAAAATTTAATTAAAATGAAATATTTGAGAATGTCAAATTTAAAAGTAATTAAAACCCCTATAAAATCCCCTAGGCCAGTCCCGCTTGCTGGAACAACC